AGCGTCGGGCAGCCAAACACAGCAATGTGGCACTGGGGAACGCAGGTGATGCATCTGCTCGTCATCTCAGTCAATTAACACACAATACGCATCTGTATGATGACCTGCCCAGCGAGCCTTTAACACTTCACGCTGCCTCAAAGTGCATCTAACCTGGCACAAGCACCGTCGGTGATGTCACCACCACTTCGTGGCAAATAGTAAATGGGAGTTTGTATTCTGTGTGTGCGTGTCCGTCTGTATTAATTATGGGGAGCAGTAGTGTAGTGGTTAGCGCGCTGTGCTACGGGTTGGATTCCCGCTCACCGCAACCAACACCAGTGACGATTATCTGAACCGGATCTGGCCCGCAACTTGGTCGACTCGGCCTCAAATGAGTACCTGGTCCGATGTGTAAACATCACCACGAGGGAGACAAAAGCGACCTGGCGTGGTGCTGCTGGCCACCCACCTCCCCACGTGTGCCATGCCGGTATTCAGAGGTGCTCGCTAGCAGCAAGTCTGTTAAGGCTCTACGGGGTATCTGTGTCTCATTACGTGCTTGTGCGAGTAATTTAGTTAAAGTAAATGAGTACCTGGTGCAGTGTGTAAACATTAGCACTGGGGAAGCCAGGCGTGTGCTGTGCAGGCCTAAATGTGAGGATTGCGAGCAGCACTTGCCCCCCATAGTCGATGGAGGCGACACGGGGGATCTTTTGTAATTGTGTCATGACACATTTAGAGCTGCACAATTTAAGAGGAATTTTATCTCGACTAATCGATATGTGAATGATCTCTCCAGCCTATTAAAGACACGTTGAAAAATACAACCCCTTCGCTACATTTTACAAATAAACGTTTTGTGAAAGTGGGAAATGTGTTACATTTTATACCGGTGTCTTGTTCTTCTGTTTTATTTTCTTGCGGCTGCAAAAAAATATATATGCCAGGTGGTATTTGATTAAAAACATTCATCATCAGCCATTATCCACTGCTGAATGAAGGTCCTCCCCCATGTCACCACCATCTCACTCGTCCGTTTCGTGCGTACCAGCTGATCGCGTTGCTCCATCTCAAACACTGCGAGAGTGGATTCATCCGAGGGTCCGCTGACGTTCGAAACGAGTAGGCCAATGTGTGTTGGCGTCGTGATATCAAAAAATACTCACAAATTACTCAATCGGGACTATGCACAGCAATGATCGCACCCCCTACTCATTGAAAACTCATTTCTTTGGAACTGCTTTTTGTGCTTAGCTTGTTATCCTTCCCCCGCACCTGATTAGTTCACCAGAGTAATGGTCACTTGCAGGCCTGGTGCCGAGTCACTGTGTGTCTCACGTGGACAGCTGCCACTGGGGGTGCCCTTTGAATATTTGAGACGTGATGCAAGTCGCTTGGGGAAAGCACCCCGCGGGCGTGAAGGGTGCTCTATGAAAAAACGAATGATTACACTGGTCAACAAAAAAAAAGATGTTTTTCTGGCCTGGACTTTTGCAGCTGTTTTAGACTAATTTCAGGGTGCTGATTCCAAATCTGATCTCAGATTTGCTCTATCACATCTCATTTTTATGCTATCGGCATACCCCATTTTCATTGATTTTACCCGAAATTAACTATGTCACGTATGATTACAAGTTTTTGCGAGTCAGTGACTGCTTTAGTGTTAAAATATGGTGCTGCATTTTTATGATAGTGTGTTTATAATATCATTTTATGTAGATATCCACATTTATTTAATATTTTTCTTCTGCAGTTTTTATTGAAAATGCAATATTTGATATCTCAAAAACCTGATGTGATAGACAAAAACTGATGCCAGATTTGGAATCGACACCCGAAAATTACCTTAAAACCGTTGGAATACCTTATGCCAGAAAAAGTGTGTTGACCAGTATAATCGGAGGTCCGGGAAGCAGGACAACAAACTAAACAGGAAAAGGCCATTCTAAAGAAATGAGTGATCTATCAAGATGATGTAAAAGTGTATAGTTGCAGTGGCTTCCTAATATTAGAAGAGCGTTCCAGAAGCACATGTGAAACCGTGCGATGCTGTGACCATCCTTGTTCGATGGTTAGCCAAAAGCCGTCGCTGCGAGGACTACCGGAGTTTGCATGGTCGATGGTTTATGCTCCGTTTAACACGTGGTAGGCTTTCGCGAGCGATATCATCCATAATTCTAGATTTGAAGCTTTCGTGACTGCAAGGATTCATACTCTTAGTTCTTTCGGTAAAGTCACGTAGGTAAAAAAATTAATTAAAATTAATAAAAATAAAGCAATAAAATAACTTTTATTGTTTTAGTTTTTATTAATTTTTATTTCATAAAATCACTTTTATTGTTTTATTTTTATTAATTTTAATTTCATTTTTTACCTACGTGACTTTACCGAAAGAACTAAGAGTATCATCCATAATACAGGGTTTTTTGGGTAAGATCGCGTAAATATATAAATGTGTCGTTTAACCCGCGACCATCGGTGTGCTGTACTCGTAACGAATTGGCATGTTCTGTTTACGTGACAAACCTCCTTACTAATTGGCTGTGTTGGGTGGCGGCGAGTTTAATGACACATTTATATATTTACGCAATTTAACCCCCAAAAAGACCTGTTCTCTGGATGGTTCATGCTCCTGCACGTGATGCGGTCCCCACCCAAGTCGTGTCAGAGTCTGCAAAACAAAACAAATGTGGCAACTTGCACCACCATCAGTTGGGAAAAGGGCCTGGTACGGAGACTGGTACAAAGCATTAGACAGCCTCATCGGCTCCCCGTGGCATTGCCACTCTCTCAAACAGTCCCTGTGAGCCTCGGGCATTCGCGAGGAATAATACGAATCCATATGGTGCCGGAGTCTGCCTCTTGTCAGCGAGCATTCCTCACCGAATACAGTTACAAGTTTTCCAATCCAACAATTCAAATTTTTACGTGACTTAATTTGGTCTGGCTATGTTAAGCTTAAAGGATACTTTGTAGAAACATGTACGTGGCTGTCACCCAAAAAACACCACGATTTATTATGGAAAATTAGAACAAATATAAAAATAAAACCCTGGCATGAAATACTGTATATTGAATATTGTAAATATGTACAATTCGAATGATGATCTACTCCAGGGATGGTTCTTGCTGTGCGAAGAGGAAACAGGGCACGTGTCTAACGCCACCTGTTGAGCAGACCACAAACACAACGACTACAGCCATGTATCTACACACAGGGTGGCTTTAGTCGAGAAAGTGAACACATCATAACATCGATATCCCAGAAAATGTGTATTTTGTTTGCTTTTAAGCCACGTAATTATCTTGCCACAGAAACATGTCAGGATACCCTCGACCATCCGACGGAGCCAAATTTAATTAAGTGCATGACAAACTTGGGCAAATTATTTCACGTGGGCCAGCCTAAAAAACGTGAACTCGCGAGATGCTTACCTCGTCTAGAAGCTCACCATCGCTGTTATCTTAGTCGAGACATTTAACTTAACACAAGCGCATCCAGCGGAATATTTAACCAAACAAAAAACATTTCACTGCGATGAATGCTTCAACTTTCACACCGTGGTGGGTTTAACGCGTGTGGTGAGCGCATTCAAAACAGCACGCTTATCATTTGAAGTTGCATAGGCCAAACAAGGGTTGAGTGCTGTTATAGCGAGCACCTAATAAGGCTGTCACGGCTCACAGATGCAAGAGGATTTCTTGAGGCATCCTTCAGGGACTGGGTCAAGCCGAGGGAGGCAACGACTCCCGTTTGCTCATGCTAATTGCGACACATTAATATGCACATGAAAGCCAACAAGTAAACCCAGGCATGTGTCGTTGTAGTTCACACACACACACACTGTACAGATGTGTTTAACAGCAATAATAATATCAATATGGAACGTGGCGTGCCCGCAGAGGACGACTCCAGAGGTGCTTTGGGAGTTGAATGTCTGAGACGACTGGCAAATTCACCACCCGGAATCTCCACAATGCCAATAAATACTGCGGAACACAGAGACACAGATCCCCCGCCGTGTAGCCTCAACAGCCTGTTGGGGCAAGTGTTGTTAGCGAGTACCTATGAAGGTCGACACGGCACACGAGGGGGTGGATGGCTAACACCACGCCTGGCCGCCTTTGTCTCCCAAGTGGCGATGTTTACACACCGCGCCAGGTACTCATTTTCAGACTGAGTCGACCTAGGAGAGGCCCAGAACCAGTTCAGATAATTGTCACTGGTGTTGGCCGTGAGCGGCGATCGAATCCGGGTCGCCAGGTTCGTAGCGCAGCACGCTAACCATGGTACATACACACAGAGACAACAAGCGCCATTCGCCACTAAGTGGCGGTGACGTCACCACGACGCTTGTGCCAGGCTATGTGCACCTTGAGGCCACGTGAAGTGTCGAACGCCCGCTGGCAGGAGGTCACGGGGCAGACCCAGCAGGTGCCAGGGGTCGACTGACCGAGATGACCGAGATGACTGGCTGATGCACCACCTGTACCCCCTACTGTACCAACTTGCTGTGCTTTAGCCACCCGGCGCTCCGCTCGTTGTTGTGAGCGTCGCTCCTCCGCCCTCCGTTGTTGTTGGAGGGCGACTGCCTCCAACTGCCCAGTAGCGTCCTTCACGAGCCTCCTCCACTGAGGCCGATCTTGACACCGCTGGTACCAGTCATCGGCAAGTCCACTCAGCTCCACGTCCTCCTGTACCACATCACTCCATCTCTTCTCTAGCCCGTGCCACGCCCGTTTAGCCCCCTCTATCCGGCAGAACAAAAGCTGTTTAGGCATGCTGTGACTGGGCATGCGGGCTACATGATCCAGCCAACGCAGCCTTGCCTGCCGGAGGAGCTCACCGATGGGACTTTGCCCAGATCTTTAAAGGATTTGTGAGCTCCTCACACAATCCAGCCTGGTTAAACCCAGGATGGATTGTCGGCAGGCCAGCCAAAATGTTTCCAACCGGCGAAGATGCTCCATTAGGGGGGTCCACAGAGAGACACACACATTGACACACACACACGCGCTCGGCTTTCACCAATGTCTTATTTATTGTACCCTGGTACAGTATAAAAAAAACAATGTCCTCTATGAAGCATAAATTCTAATATGAACAGCAAGAATGGATGGGGGGGGGGGGGAAGGAAGTACAGGTTATGTAACAATGGCAGGCAGGTTCAGTGCCTGAAACCTTCACCACGGCCTCCTCATAATCGGAACGAAAAAACAAAGACTCAGAGGGATGTTTCTGGCCCAGAAACACCCAACATGTGAATGTTTTATTTCTCCAAATAAATGAAATCCCTCAATGTGTTATTGATATCGTTGCGTGTTTCTTTATGTGTGGGTGTCTACTATGCCACCCAAAAACACCAACCCCCCCCCCCCCACATTAACTCGTCACCTCGCACACGTCGTCAAATTATTTTACTCGACTCTCCAATAACTTTCCCCCTCCTCGTGTGAATATATATGCATAAGCACACCGTACAATGCGTGTGCACGTAAAAAGAAAAGAAAAAAAGCCAATGCACCTGGTAAATGAACGTGGATTTTTTTTTGTTGTACACTTTTTTATACTTTATTTTGTAATGCTTTATTTATAAAATTAAAACCATCCCCAAAGCTAGCTATAAAGCCCAGTAAAGCCCCATTTACCACCCGCCCCCCCCCCCCTTAATAACTCTTATACTGCGGTAAGTTTAACCCACCACCACCACCCACAAAAAAATAATTGAAGCCCATGTCTGACCTGACGTTGAACCCCAAAGAATCTGCATGACCCTGGCCATGATTCACGATGGCTTTGCCAAGGTCGCGCTGACCCAAACACATGCAAGGGGGGCGCAAGGGCATTCAGGTGGAATGCCACGGTGCTTCGTGTGTGTGCCCTGCGAGGAACGCTCAGCATGCTGCAACTCGGCCTCAGTGTTCAGGCAACAGCCATGGCCGGAATTATCCACGGTGAGCGTCGCCTTTTTCAAATGAGACGCTATGGCAAGTACAGCAACGCAGGCAATTGTGTAACTGTTGAACAAAGTGATAGGCAGCCAGTCGCGAGCCACGATGCAGAGTTGAGGCCCAGCAAGATGCCCGAGCCGCCAATTGCTCTGTCACGCTGCATGTCGTAACGGCTTGGGCTGCCTGACACGTCACAGGGGCTTGCCTGACAGGTCACATGGACTGCCTGGACTGCACCCCACCCCCCATCTCCCACACACATCGGAGCCACTTTGATCTCAACTAAGAAGCAGAGAAAGAAAATTCTAATGAATTATTTTAATTGGACAGTCATTTGAATGAGCGAGATATGCAAAATTGGCCCACATTATCCTGTATGCCAAACTGACCGATGCGCCATCGGCTATATACTTCTCTTCAGGCATTACGACTTTGTAAATGTGAAGGGAAAAAAACATGATTCTTTCTTCTCTTTCTCATTACCTGAAGAATGACTGTTCCCTTAACATGTCGGTTTTCACAGCCAATATTAAGATTCGACCTTGAATTTTGTCACAATAGACACGACTGCTACATTTGGTTGCAAGAATTATTATTCAAATCACCGCCGAGTGAGCTGAAACAAATGCAACCGGCAGGTTAGACACTTGTGCACGGGAAAATTGAAATTGTTTGGCTGTGTCAGGTGGTGAAGGGCCTTCACAACACAAATTTGGCCCAGATCATTATGTGGGCCCGACCGACAAATCAATCATGAGTAACAGTTTGGAATGGCAGAACCAAGTCAGACACATTCCCACAGAAACCTGAATACAGCATAATGTAAACATTAAAACAAATTGCATGTACAGACAGATGTATAAACCGGGTTGTTTAAGTACAGAGTAGTTCTTTTCGTGTTATTTGGATTATTACAGCATTGTTATTCAATCCTGGAAGTGTTTGGTTTCCATCTTCCCCAACAATAAACCAGAACGAAAAATAAAATAAAAAATAAGTTTCCCAAGTCACCCCTACTTATGAAAAATAAAACGATCTATACTTTTTTTTAATATGATATATTGCACATTATTTACAAAGATTGTTAGAAAATGGCTTATTTTCCAAACACCCTAATAGAATTTACAAAACAAGTACTACCTTAAAGTCTGTCATTATAACGAGCAAGCGATCGGCATTACGCTCAAGAGGAACCACAGAGGGGATGATGAGAGATGGATTTAACATGAACGACGCACGTGGTGTTCATGTTCCTGGATCTAAGCATGAGAAAAAGGGCTTAAAAAACGGATGGCGTCTAAGATTCGGATTTCAATTAAATGAGGCCGCCAATCCCGTGCAAGGGTTTGTGACACTACCAGACTTGCGAAGTGGCCAGGAGATGGCAGTACAGCAAACGCCTCTTTGAAATCCATCTGTGCAAAGACTGGACCGTATGCGTGGTGGGTTATCGATGTTCGACAAATTCCATTCGTGCTTGGCATGCGGGAGGAAACTGGAGTGGGGGCTGCAGAAAAACCGCCTTGTGACTACAGGTAAACATAACTGACCAGCCAGCCTGTGTAGACACTGAATCATGTTGTGGTTATGACTTTCTAAAGGACTTAAACAGCTTGGTTGCTTATCAAATGTGTATTGACTTGTTGGCTTGCATTCCAGTAGTGGAAAAAATTGAATGTCTGGTGCAAATCACTGTACGCCTTGTTATCCAACCTACTTGCTGTACTACCCTCCACTCCCGGTGCAGGCTCAAGCCATGCATTTGAGCGACTGAGTTCGTGAATGGCTGGGTGATTTAGTGCGAGAGTTGGGTGGGTGAGCGAGCGAGCGGGCGATCGAGTGAAAGTAAATGAGAGTGAGGGTTTGGTTTAGGCAGTAGACTCTTACAAGTTGGACCATAAACCCCCTTCTGTGGCTCCTGCTCCAAAAAGGAAGAAATAAAAACATCACAGTAACAGCTGACCCAGCCGCAACTTATCCGTCTTCCTCTGTGATTGTTTCTGTTGTCTGTGTGTGCGTTTGTCCGTGCGTGTGTGTGTATGTGCATGTTTTGTTTTCGCCGCTTTAAAACGATACCGTGTTTAACTGGCGGCAAGGTGAGTGTTTCAAATGGCACAGAGAATATGCGGCGTGTAACAGCAATAAAAACGATCGCCCAAAAACCCCAGGCTTTAGGACACCATCCACCGTCATCAGCGTCACAATCGCCACCGTCGCGACGAAGCGTATAACAACAATTCACCCGCTCCAGCGATCCGATGAATTGTCATGTTTTGGGCATCGCTATTCGAGTCAAGAGCAGACTATTTATCCATCTCAATGAACCGTCTCTCGTTGGTATTGTTTTCTCACGCGTTGGGGGTCCCGGTTTTTGTACAGATTTGTTCTCACTCCACAAGACTAAATGTAACATTAGCACCGCATTTGCATATAATTTGTATAAATCTTAGATAACCGATTCTCACGTGCTCGATCGATTCAAAAGGCCTGAATTCGTAAGCATAAGAATCTATTTAAATTGAAGAATCGACACATCGATACGTGCCTAATCATCATCATCATCACTGTCGTCGTCATCGTCATCTCTCCGAGGTTGGTAAAATGAACCCTCCCCGGTGCCGGGGATAACAGCAGAAAATTGAAAACGGCCAAAAAGCACCACGGATGCAACGCTGACCATGGGAGACACCGAGCAAAGCTGCGGGAACACCTCGCTCGAGGCGATTGTGAAACGAGCCTCGGGATTTCTAAGCAACGTTCGAAACCTGAAGAGGAACCCCACTTACAAGCAACGACACCTCTGTTTACGTGGAATTCTACGATGTCTGTGCTCGATTTGTCATTTCTCCCGCATCGATTAAATTCTATTCCACAGAATGGCATTGGTAGAAACGTTTTAGAAATTAGACTATATGAGGTGTTTTTTTAATCGTGCTGTTAGCGTTAGTTCCCCTGCCCGGCTGTTTAATTGTCCTGCGATTTGGAATTTGCAGCGTTCTTCCACTGCGCTGGATTTAACTTTTCTCCTAGTGCCCACCCACTCACTTGGTTTCTTCCCCACGCTTTTCACCAAATCAACGGATTTGTGTTCGGCTTCACATACACGATCGCGGACGTTGGCGACGAATCGACGCGCCACTCGCGTGGGCGATTCTCTCCGCTTGCTCACTTTACCAACCCTCGAGAGGAGACCGTGACGGCGGTCATAACGACGACGACGACGATGATGAAAATGAGTTGATCACGACCGGGATTTTAACTCACGACCTCCCGACGGCGGACATTGGCCAGCCCTGGTGAAGCGTGCCGGTTGTGCAGGGCGTGGCGGAGAGCGGCGGGTGTCGCCGTGCCGTCGTGGTTGTCGATGAGCTTCTGGGCTGTGGACGAGCGGGGGGGTGGGGGGGTGGGGGGGAGTGGCCGCGTCGCACGATGCCGCTCGCCCCTAGATGTCGGTGAGGGTCACCTTGATGCCTCCATCCAAGTCGTCCATCTCCAGCAGGAAGGTGTCCTCGTTCGAGTAGTGCTCGATGATGTTGTCGTCCATGTAGACGAGCATTCTGTGCAGAGACGCATGCCACGCACATCCCGCCACACACGCACACAACAACCCCGTTTAATCGTGGTTTCAGCACCGGCGTCAACAACCCTGGAACCCAAACAAAACAATTTTTTATTTTACCAGATCAGACCCACTAAGCTACGTAGCTCTTTTTCAGGAGCGGCCTGCCCACAAATGATAGCTCAACAAAGTGGCTTTTCACGTGGAAATGTGTAGCAGCTAAACCGACACGACAGCCAAAACATTGGAGCAAGTTTATTCAATTCACCCCCCTCCACCATCCCCCCCCACCTCGTTGCCTGTGTCCACCCAGGCGGATCGCTGATGGGTTCACCACGATTGGCCGATCGCCGGTTCGTGTGCGCGAGATAACGACTTCCACCTCTTTCAAGGCATCCGGCCAGCGTGCGAGAAAGAGTCAAAACACCCTCAAGACGGTCCTCTCTCTCTTGATAGAGCTCCCATGAGTGGAGACCCTTCACCAGCAGTGGCACAAGCAGGGAATTGCAGGCCTGCGCCTATGCATAACGCTCCCGTTGCATGTTTGTATGTACGTTGAACTTCTTTTGCACCGTACATAGCCAAAGATGCTCATCGGAGGTGAAATTAGTTTAAAATGAAAATAATTTCCTTAAAACTGCTTTTTGTATTTAGTTTGTTGTCCTTCCCCCACACCTCCAATAAGCATGTTTGACTACGTATGGTGTGAAAGAAGTTCAACATAATACAAACACTCATTAATTGAACTGTCCCGACATCCCAATGCAGGACCCTCCTAAGAAGAAAATATTGAGGCTCGGTGAAGCTTTCTTTGGTATGTAAAATATGTTACCATGATTTACCATTTTACTTGGTGATTTCTCACAGCAATGCAAGCCTCAGTAATAAGAATCTTAACGGTGCCTTAGTCTGTGCTCCCTACTGCGCCAACTTGCAGCATTTAACCGCCCAGCGCTTCGCTCGTTGCAGTGCGCGCTGCTCCCCCGCCCTTCCTTGGAGGGCAGCTGTTGGTGCATGCGAGTGTGTGTGCGTTGGGACACACACACACACACACGCATACAATTTGCACCATGTTTGCCATTTACTTTGGCAACAAATTCCATTTTGTGGGCAGTGATAAATCCACCGGGACCAGGTAAAGGGGAGCTCCCTCTGTGCACCAAGTGGCCTAAAGTGATTTAACCCTTTAATCCCCCAGTTACGTATTCACTATGGAGACGCACAACACAAGTCGATAGGATGTTCCGGATAGCTTGTCAGCAACCTACTTTCTGCGCTGTGATCCCCTGCATGGCCCCATTAACCCCTCCAGCGGGCAAGTCGCCCGGTTAAATATCGGCGCGCGTCGTCACGAAGAGGGCGAGGAAGAAAGAGCTCACCCTTTTTTGCATTTCTTGTAAATCTTTCTGATGCTTTCTAAGGACACCCCGTACTTTTCTGAGATCTGGAACAGAAACGGATGGTTCACAAGCACACTCGGATCAATTCCACCGTTAATTTTTTATCACCATCAGCCACATACCATCGTCATTTCCCACCACGACCAACGTCATCAACGGCCGCATTTCTGCACGGACAGCAGCAGCATTGCGATGTGCACAGTGCGCATGAGTTGTGGCTCCGTGTGCAGCGTGCGGTGCTGCCGCAGCGCCTCGTTAAGACGGCGTGGTGTGCAACGTGCATCTCTGTGTGGTGTGGAGCGTGTATCTGTGCACATTGTGCATCTCTGTGTAGTGCGGCGTGTATCTCTGTGTGGTGTTCAGCGTGTATCTGTGCACAGTGTGCGGCATGTATCTCTGTGTGGTGTGCGGCGTGTATCCGCGCGTGGCGGTGTGACGTCGATCGGCGGCCACTCACGGCTTCCTTGAGCCCCGCCAGGTTGGGAGTCTTCAGCATGAGGGCGTCAAACACCTCGTCCGACGGCCGCCTCACGTAGAGCAGCACTGCAGGGTGACACACGGGGGGGTGGGGGGGGGTGGTGGTGAGCGAGGGGGGTCATGGGGACCGCGCTCACCACGGGGGCCGACCCGCCCCGTAACCCTGCCGTGTCCTCGCTCACAAAGCCACGTCGGGGCCAGGCCAAAAGCTCGTCGAGAGCGAGGGGGGTCAAGGTGCAGCCCCGGGACCGGGCGGTCGCGCCACGCGGCGGCGGCAAGATGCCCACGCCGGAGCGAACTCCTCGAGTGGGCAGTGGCTCTCCGCCTCCACGCCGACGAGGCGTGGGCGTACCGACGCCTTGCCGCACCACACGGCGCGACCTGCCAATCGAGCGACTGCGGCGCGACCCGTTTGTACTGCCGAGCAGACAGGAGGTGGCGGCATGGGGGGGGCAGAAACTTGCAGCGTTGTTTCAACTGCCGCGCCGAGAGATGGGGTCGACGCGGCGACCTCTGGATCGCAGGTCCAGCGGTTCTCTAACCCTGCCACCACGGCAGGAAGCTCCCCCCCTGATAATAACAATAATGCGACAATTGTATTTTTTAAATTCGTAAGGTCTTATCAGCGTCGTGCTGCGAAACAAAACGGCCATTCTTAACGATCGCAGAGCCGCGCGTCGCTGCACATCTCGGAGAGCGGCACGAGGAAGCAGACTTCACAGAACCGCTTGCGAGATCCCACCAACTGACCCTTTTTATGCACTTGCCCACCCGTGTGCCAGCAAGCAAAATGTTTTCTTATCTAGCATGATGAACTCATCACGAGCATCGTTGTGGGGAATATAATTAGCGAAATAAATAAGCAGACAACATGTCACTTCCGTATATCTGTCCCTCCATATAAACGCAAAGCTGTACAATACATCGCGCAAAATCATCAAAAGCGTCACTGTGGAGAATGTAAGTAGCAAAAAATACACACTCGCTACTCGGGAGTGATAGACTTTCCCACATGCCCTGCCACAGAGGATTTACACAAATTGGGTGAAAGACAACATATAAAGGCAAGGTGCTTTCTTCGTGCAGCGATTCGTCACCGGGCTGAGACGCTCAACTCGCCGCACTTGACAACCCGCGGTTTAAGCACAAGGTGAGCGAGACCCAAATTCAAATCCAGGAATTCAGGTGCCCAGCTCGTGAATTCCTTGGCCAACTCAACGATGTTGTCGAGTGGCTGGGCCATGTGAGGACTCATTTAGAATGGACATGCATTTCAGAGTATTTGGCTGCTATAAATTTCCACGTGATAAGCCACTTCGTTGAGCTATCATTTGTGACCAGCTCAGTGGGCCTTAGCTGGTCAAATAAAATAAAAATGTAGTTTAGTTTATTCCCAGAGTGACTAAAATAATTGTTGTAGTTGCAATTCAATTAAATTTAAGGCACCGATAATTTTCCATCTCGCGTTGACGCCGACGCTTGCGTCACGCGTTCTTGTTTTTTATTTCTGTTCACGCAACAAATTAGTTCGCACCGTGAGCCCAAAGCAAACATTCGAATATCACTTGCATAACATTAGCGTACCGCTTGCATGGTCTACGAGCAACGGATTCTCACGCGCACAATCCGATGCACGCGTCAGAAGCGACGTATGTTGACGAATCGACGCGCCGTTTTTACATGTCTGTTATTCATGCAGGAAAGCCTCACTGAGTCTCGGGGCGTTATATCGGTCGCCATGGTGATGGGAGCTCCCACCTTTCTTCAGAGGCTCCTCCTTCAGCTGCTTCGCGGGTGACGCAAACTCCTCGTTGAAAAAATGCGGAGGGCGCTTGAGCATCACGCTGCTGGTGACAGGGGTCGTGGGGGTCGGAGGGCAAGAGATTGCGATGTGATACGTTCGGCATTGCAGGACGCTTCGTTTGTGCGTCTGTGATGTGTCCGTCCGTTTGTCACGATGCTCGCTTCAGTATTCGGTGTCACACAGAGTCGAGCGAGGGCTCCCTCTCTGATCGGAAGGAACCGGCGACCTGCGGTATCGATGCTATGCTACGTATATGACCTACCACCTTGGACCGACGTAAAAAAAAAAAAAAAAAAAAAAAAAAAAAAAAAAAAACACTAGCAAAGCTTTAGATTACTCGGAGGAATCGGGCTTTGCGGAAGATTTCACCTTGAAGAAAAGATTAAGCCCATTCAAGCGCGCGCGCACACACACACAAGGTGTTACATTTATAGAGCGTCTTACAGTGGCCACGTCTCAAGAGGCTGCACAGACGCAGGAGGCAAGAGGATGGAGTGTCAGGTCAAGTGTGGGCGCACGCGCCGAGACAGCGTGAAGCAGCATCCACCCGTTCATTCCCCGAGCTCCGATTTAAACAACCGTGTCGAATTAGTGAGATTTTCACTGAAGGGGGGGCAGGAGGTGGATCTGTGCCTTTGTTTGTGTCTCGAGATATACGACTGTGTGTCTGTGCATGTGTACGAGTGGATTTGTCTTTGTATGTGGGGAGCAGTGGCTCAGTGGTTAGCGCCCTGCGCAACGAAACCACCGGCCCGAGTTCGATTCTAGCTCACGGCCAACACCAGTGACGATTATCTGCACTGGTCCTGGGCCTCTTCTAGGTCGACTAACAAATGAGTAACTGGTGCGATGTGTAGACATCGCCACTAGGGAGACAAAGGCGGCCGGGAGTGGTGCTGGCCACCTACCTCTGGGTGTGCTGTGCTGGCTTTTCGTAGGTGATCGCTAACAGTGCTTGCCCAAAAAAAGTCTATTCAGGCAACACGGGGGATCTTGGTATATGCTTTACATCTGTGCACGTGCGTTTGGGTGTACGTGTAATTGTACGCCGAGTGTGCGTTTCTGCGCGCGCGATAAACAGACTCACCCGTCCCTCTCCACATCTTCGGGAGTGCTCGAAAACCCCTGCAGAAAATACACACGACACATGATCACGTGAGCCGGGACGGTCACAACGATAGCCCAGCGGATCTTCAGAGCACGTTCCGCTAGCAAGCGCCCATTACGCGTTCTCCATTCAGGTGAGGGGCGTGTATAGGTGCGTGTGCAGGTGAGTGTGCAGGTGAGGGGCATGTACAGGTGTGTGTGCAGGTGAGGGTGCAGGTGAGGGGCGTGTACAGGTGCGTGTGCAGGTGAGTGTGCAGGTGAGTGTGCAGGTGAGTGTGCAGGTGAGTGTGCAGGTGAGGGGCGTGTACAGGTGCGTGTGCAGGTGAGTGTGCAGGTGAGCGGCATGTACAGGTGTGTGTGCAGGTGAGGGTGCAGGTGAGGGGCGTGTACAGGTGCGGGGCATGTACAGGTGCGTGTGCAGGTGCGTGTACAGGTGAGTGTGTTTGGGGGTGACAGGTAACGGTGGTTGGGCCCAGTGTGCTGCTAAACTTTCTGCTGTGTGTTCATGCGAGTGTACCAGTGCGCACTGATACAAGTTTGCAGGTAAGGCCTCACCGTAAGTGTCTTCCGACAGGCGAGTGGGTAAAGGTGAGTGTATCGATGTGTGTTCAGGTCAGTGTTTAGCTGAACGTTCAGGTGGGTTTTAGGTCACGCATACAGGTGAGTGTAGGGATTGGGTGTACAGGTGAGTGTGCGCGTGTGGCAGGCGAGTGTTGGTACAGGTGTGTAGGAGTGAGCGGAGGGGTAAGGCTAGAGGTGAGCGCAGGAGCGAGTGTAGGGGTGAGTGTAGGGGTGAGCGTAGGGGTGAGCGTAGGGGTGAGCGTAGGGGCATGCATGTAGCGGTCCACGTAGGGGTGAGGGCAGGGGTGAGGGCAGGGGGGAGCGTCAGCGCACCTGTGCGGAGCGCTGCAGGTTGGTGAAGTGGATGTCGGGGATGAAGAGCACGGGCTGTGAGCTTAGGTCGGACAGCGCCTTGAAGAGGGTGAGGTCGCTCCTCTTGACGGCCGCCACCGCCGGGGACTTCATGTCACCCGCTGGGAAACGCGCACGGTGGAACGCACGCCACACACGCAGCGTTACACACGGCACACACACGCAGCGTTACACACGGCACACACACGCAGCGTTACACACGGCACACACACGCAGAGTGACACACGGCATACGCACGGCACACACATGCAGTGTCACGCACGGCACACACACGCAGAGTGACACACACAAGGCACACACACGCAGCGTTACACACGGCACACACACGCAGAGTGACACACGGCATACGCACGGCACACACATGCAGTGTCACGCACGGCACACACACGCGGAGTGTTACACACAAGGCACACACGCAGCGTTGTGGTTGCCGTGGGAGCCACTCACAAGCGTTGCACAGTGACACGGCTGCCTGTCCCTTGGCTTTCTTGCGCATCTGCTTGCGCTCCTCATCGCGGATCTTGCGCTCCGCACCCTGCGTAGACAACCGCATCAACAACCGCGTCAACAACCACAGTACACAAACACATCAACAACCACCACCAACAACCACAACAACAACTACCACACTAACAACCACATCAACAACCGCGTCAACAACCACAGCACACAAACACATCAACAACCACCACCAGCAGCAAATACAACATTAAGAACCGCGTCAACTACCACACTTACAACCACAACAACAACTACCACACTAACAACCACATCAACAACTACCACACTTACAAGCACAACAACAACTACCACACTAACAACCACATCAACAGACGCGGCGCGGTGCGGTACCTTGTCGCAGAAGACCTTGATCTGGCACGAGGCGCGGTGGATGGGCTTGTTGCTGCGGTTGCTGTAGCTGTAGGTGTCGATCTGCAGGCTCAGCGGCAGGCCCTTGACGCCCTTTTGCGACGAGAAGTCCGTGCTCAGACAGTTGACGGCCACGAAGATCTGTGCAGCAGGGGAGCGGGAACACCACACGGCAACGCACACCGCACGTCAGCGGCACGCCACACGTCAGCGGCACACCGCACGTCAGCGGCACGCCACACGTCAGCGGCACGCCACACGGCAACGCACACCACACGTCAGCGGCACACCGCACGTCAGCGGCACACCGCACGTCAGCGGCACACCGCACGTCAGCGGCACACCGCACGTCAGCGGCACACCGCACGTCAGCGGCACACCGCACGTCAGCGGCACGCCACACGGCAACGCACACCACACGTCAGCGGCACGCCACACGGCAACGCACACCACACGTCAGCGGCACACCGCACGTCAGCGGCACACCGCACGTCAGCGGCACACCACACGGCAACGCACACCACACGTCAGCGGCACACCGCACGTCAGCGGCACACCGCACGTCAGCGGCACACCGCACGGCAACGCACACCACACATCAGCGGCACACCGCACGTCAGCGGCACACCGCACGGCAACGAACACCACACGTCAGCGGCACACCACACGTCAGCGGCACGCCGCACGTCAGCGGCACTATCACACGTCAGCGGCACACCGCACGTCAGCGGCACGCCGCACGTCAGCGGCACGCCACACGTCAGCGGCACACCACACGTCAGCGGCACGCCACACGTCAGCGGCACGCCGCACGTCAGCGGCACACCACACGTCAGCGGCACGCCGCACGTCAGCGGCACACCGCACGGCAACGCACACCACACGTCAGCGGCACGCCGCACGTCAGCGGCATACCGCACGGCAACGCACACCACACGTCAGCGGCACACCACACGTCAGCGGCACACCACACGTCAGCGGCACGCCGCACGTCAGCGGCACACCGCACGGCAACGCACACCACACGTCAGCGGCACACCACACGTCAGCGGCACACCGCACGGCAACGCACACCACACGTCAGCGGCACACCACACGTCAGCGGCACACCGCACGTCAGCGGCACGCCACACGGCAACGCACACCACACGTCAGCGGCACACCGCACGTCAGCGGCACACCGCACGTCAGCGGCACACCGCACGTCAGCGGCACACCGCACGGCACCGCACTCCACACGTCAGCGGCACGCCACACGTCAGCGGCACACCGCACGGCACCGCACACCGCACGTCAGCGGCACACCGCACGTCAGCGGCACACCGCACGTCAGCGGCACACCGCACGGCAACGCACACCGCACGTCAGCGGCACACCGCACGTCAGCGGCACACCGCACGGCACCACACACCGCACGTCAGCGGCACACCGCACGTCAGCGGCACACCGCACGGCAACGCACACCACACGTCAGCGGCACACCACACGTCAGCGGCACACCACACGGCAACGCACACCGCACGTCAGCGGCACGCCGCACGTCAGCGGCACGCCGCACGTCAGCGGCACGCCGCACGTCAGCGGCACGCCGCACGTCAGCGGCACGCCGCACGTCAGCGGCACGCCGCACGTCAGCGGCACGCCGCACGTCAGCGGCACGCCGCACGTCAGCGGCACGCCGCACGTCAGCGGCACGCCGCACGTCAGCGGCACGCCGCACGTCAGCGGCACGCCACACGTCAGCGGCACTCCACACGTCAGCGGCACGCCACACGTCAGCGGCACGCCACACGTCAGCGGCACTCCACACGTCAGCGGCACACCGCACGTCAGCGGCACACCGCACGTCAGCGGCACTCCGCACGTCAGCGGCACACCACACGGCACCGCACACCACACGGCACCGCACACCACACGTCAGCGGCACGCCGCACGTCAGCGGCACGCCCCGCACCGCACCACACGGCACCGCACACCACACGTCAGCGGCACACCGCACGTCAGCGGCACACCACACGGCACCGCACACCGCACGGCACCGCACGCCGCACGTCAGCGGCACGCCGCACGTCAGCGGCACGCCGCACGTCAGCGGCACGCCGCACGTCAGCGGCACGCCGCACGTCAGCGGCACGCCGCACGTCAGCGGCACTCCGCACGTCAGCGGCACACCGCACGTCAGCGGCACTCCGCACGTCAGCGGCACGCCGCACGTCAGCGGCACGCCGCACGTCAGCGGCACACCGCACGTCAGCGGCACACCGCACGTCAGCGGCACTCCACACGGCAACGCACGCCACACGTCAGCGGCACACCACGCCGCTCGCGCTCGCTGCCGGCGGGGCTCACAATGGCCGTGCCGGAGACGCCAAAGGTGGCAGTACCGGCGTCTCCTTTGGTTCAACGACTCACGTTTGTTTTGGGGTTAGGCCGAGGGGGGGCGGGGGGGTTGGCAACCAAAATAACAAGAAGAGAATTTTTTTTAATACTCGAATTTGGTAAAATAAATCTTTCAGCCGCAATGCATGGGACTACGAGGTGGTGGTCCTTTATAAACAGCGTGACGGTGCAGTCCCCAAAGAGCCGCATGTTGCTCCAGGGCTGCAGGTTAACAACCCCTAAGTTAGGCCAACATTGGCGGTAGTTTTTATGCCCAAATGCCAATTAATATCCCCCCACCATCCGACAAAGATTATCACGGTTACACAGATATGATTCACGCACGCACCCGAGTATCGATCATATTCTGAACGATGAAGACTTTGGCGTGACTGAATTCAACTTCCTACGTTTTAAAACCTGCGTTTTAATCTAATCTAATTTATAGAGCGCCTTCACTCAAGATGCGTGATATAGCTTCCAAAACGATGACAAAACGGAATGGTGCAGTTGACAGGCGTGTACACGGACTGAGGAATGAGTAACAGTGATCGAGGATAAATGGGGATCACGAAAGGGCGATAGGGGAGGGGCGAGGGAAGGAAAGGGAATGTGAACTGTGCTTCAAGTCGCGTGGTGTGTTTATGTAATAAAAAGTTTCATAATGGCCCTATCGGAGACACTGCACTGGCCCCACTAAAATCCTCGGTTCAAGATCTTGGGTTTGGGTCTCTGTCTATGTATGTATGTATGTGGAACTTCTTTCGCACCGTATGTGGCCAAGCATGCAAATCAATCTAATAGGTTCATAAGGTGCCGTCCATAAATGACGTCACGCGATTTTGGACGATTTTTGACCCCCCCCCCTCGTCACACGGCGTCACAAAAAGTCAGACCACCCCTCAAATGACGTCAAAGCTCTGCCCCCCCCCCCAATAAAACATGCTTCAAATCGCTTTAAACTATTGTCATTGTAGTGCGTATTTAATGTGCCGCTGCACCCTGATGTTATAGGAGAAAACATTTATTTAAAAGTCTATTTAATTAAGTAGAACGTGTTGTCTATATTTATTTAAAGTTGCGCATTTTTATGTGACGTCACATTTCTCAAACCCCCCCGCTCGTCACACATCGTCACAAATGTCTGACCCCCCCCCCCCTAGATGCGTGACGTCATTTATGGGCGGCCCCTAATGGCCGTATCAGAGATATCTGGGCCAGAATTGGTGAGATGGCGGTTCAAGCCCTGGTGATAGGTGCGTGTGTTGATGTCCATTCTGAGCCATAATGGACAAGTCACATCACTCACAGACACTATCCACAATGATGAAACGTAGAATAAGCTTTACCCGTTCTGGAAATATACCCACAAATGTAGCCACATCAAGCAGCCTCGCAAAACGAAAGTTCTTGGAGAGAAACAAGAACTGTGAATGGGAATTCTAAAAGGAGACGTAATGGAACTGGCGATTGGCGAATGTCACCGATGATGGCCAATTCCGACTGGTATTGTCCAAACATCCCAACGATGAAAAATAAACCTGCAAATTCCTCAATTGGGGTTACATGCAGAAAGTTTAACCCGAAACACCAGCAACTTGGCAGGACCCTGCTGAAAAGCGCTATTGAGACTCTAATATCTCGGTTACCTTCACGTAGCAACCATCGTAATAACAATACACTCGAACGGCTAAACAAAGGACATTCAATCACCGCACGCGCAAAGACAAAAATCCCCACATTGAAGCCTGGGGTCAGTGTTGTGGCGAGGGTTGTTAGCGAGCACCTATTAAGGCTGCAAGGCACGCGCATGTGCACCTGGCGTTCCTGCAGTCAGAGGCCTGCCACGAGGGGGCGACTCAGGTGAACATTTCCTACAGCAGGTGAAGACCGGGCCAGACATGGCAAGCATGGACCCCCCCCCCCCCTCAACGGCGTGTCTTTAGACTGAGCGTGCCGCTCCTTGGTAGCCGAACAATCATCGGTCATATTGTTGTCGTTTCATTGCCGCACCTACTCGAACAAAACAACAACTCGACACGTTCGTCAATAATATCGTGGCCTCAAGCATCGGAAAAACGATATGATGATAGGCGACGTTTCGGGCAATGGCCCTTTTTTGCACAGCACATCGACAAAGTTCGTGTGCGCGCCCTGCTAATTTTTCCTGTTTGTTTTACAAACGCTGCCGATAGATTTTTGTTTAGTTTTTTTTTTACAATTAAAGCCAGCTGTAAAGCATTTTAGATGGATAAGCGTCTCAAGTGGCTTCCGCAGATTTCTATCTGCCCTCGCAATTACCTGGGAAGCCCCGAGGCCAGGTATCCCATCGTGCTTTGCATGGGGAAGGTGATGGGGGTGGAGGGGGTGAGCCTGATGATGGGGAAGGTGATGGGAGGATGAGTAGTGACTAGAGGGAGTGGTTTTTTTTAAGAGTGGAAACCGCACAAAGATAAAGACAAAGATCCCCCGTATAGCCTTTAACATACTCTTGGGGCAAGTGCTGTTAGCGAACACCATTTAAGAGCACGCGCACGCACACACCCCCTGCTCGCTGCCTCATCCTAAGCAAATTAAAATACAACCAAAGTTGCAGGTGACAGGCATTGTGTGCTTGTGTCTTGGTGTGTGTGCTGGTGAATAGATTTGTGTGTGTGTGTTGATGTGTGTGTGTGTTGGTGAGTAGATGTGTGTGTGTGTGTTGGTGAGTAGATGTGTGTTTGTGTTGGTGAGTGGACGTGTGTGTGTGTGTGTTGGTGAGT